CAAGTGCTGGCTTGGATCTAGAAAGCCCTTGGTGGTTTCAGCCCCAAATTCCTCAAAGACCACTTTTTAAACTATAAAAATAGACTGGAAGCAAAAACTGGAATTCTATCTCTTGGCCAAGGCTGCTTCCCTGATTGTTAAAAAGTCCTCCCAATGGCTGCCTTACAACTGTGGTACACTCTTTATTATAAAGATCTAAGTCAACACCTACCCCACCCCCAACTATGAAAATGTCATCTATAGGCAGGCATTCAATGGTCAGGACTTAAGCCATGAAGCCATGTTGTTTCTTGTTCCATGCTGCTATATAGAGGCAGTCAGTGAAACAGCAAGAGCCCTTCGCTTTACAAGAGAAAGGACCGGTGGCTTTTTTGAAAGGAGACCCCTTTTCAAGTTACTTGGTCAGTAAGTCCAACCAAACAATATCAGATCTGCCAAACTTGCAGGAACAATGCAAATTTATTTTGCTGCCTCTCAGGGTTGAGATCTCACAAAGGCAAAAATGTAACAGAACTATCTGAGGGCTGACCAAGTGCTAGAAGGACTCCCGACTGTAAAAGCTGGTGGGTTATTTCTCTGCATTAAAGAATGTAATGAACTTCAGGCTAAATTACAAAAAAATCTGCAGGCATCCAGTTCTCATGGCCCGAGGAGAATCAAGCATTCAGATGAAGCCGATGCATGCTCAAAAAGTATGCCACTTCCAAGCCAAAGCTTAAGGTGCTGATTTTGATCTTTAAAGCCTCAACCATCCTAGATTATTCTGTGTCTCTATTATTGCTTTACCCAATGTATGTTGCTTGGAAGCAAGAACTATTGCTTGCAAGGAAACTTATATCCCAATAAGCATACATAAAATTGCACTGTTGGGAGAAAGCCTTTCCCATTAAGAGCCCACCACTTGCCAACTGAGAGCTGCAGAGGGGGAAATTCTCAAAATACCCACTTCTTTTTTTTTTTATAAGTACCCATAGGTACACTTTTATTAATTTTTTTAATCTACAACAAACAAATCTACACACTACAGACACTCTACTACACATAACGTATGTACCAAGAGTGCAGTTACATTATATGCTTATATGCAGTTAATTAATAAAAACTCTATATCAAATACTTTCCATTCTTCTATCTTCTGTGTTCTCAAGTCCATTGCGCTATCCTTGCCTAATCTTCTATTACATTTGCATTATACCAATCATAAAACTTTTTCCATGTTTTTTGAAATGTCCACTCTTTACTTAATCTCATTTCTAGAGTCAGTTTATCATTTTCTGCTGTTTCAAAAAGTTTATTCACAAACTCCTGTTTTGTTGGTATCACCATAGTTTTCCAATATTTGGCATATAAGATTCTTGCAGCTGTCGTCATATAAACAGTCAAATACCTATTCTCTTTTTCATAATCCTTTGGAAATATATTCAACAGCAAGACCTCTGGAGTAAATGGAATCTTTGCTCTTAGTATCTTCTCCATCAAACTATGGACCCATTTCCAAAACTTTTTAGTAACAACGCATAGCCACCACATATGGTAAAATGTACCCCTTTTACTCTTACATTTCCAACATTTATCAGAACAGTTAATATTTTGCTTAGCCAGGCTATCAGGTGTAACATACCATCTATAAAACATCTTGTACATATTCTCTTTATATGTTATAGCATTAGTCATTTTAATATTTTTCTCCCAAATCTGCTCCCAATCTTCAAGATTTATAGTATGCCCTAAATTCTGAGCCCATACAATCGTATTATTCTTCACAATTTCCTCTACCATTGTATCATCCAACAAAATTTTATATTTTTTCTTTATGATTTTACTATCTGCTGTTAACATAACATTTTCCAGTTCGGTTATTTTACCATTAAATCCCACTTTTTTGTCCTTTAAATATATTGATTCCAGCTGTACTTTTTGCCACCAGGACAGATGTTCTGGTAGCTTAAGATTGTCCTTACTGTCCAAAATGTCCTGATACCTCAATATTTCTTCTCCTGTATAAACATTCGGCAGCGTAAAGGCCTCTAATGGTCTTATTAGTCTCGATCTTTTAGTATAAAATTTTTTATGAATTCCGTCCCAAACCTTAAGTAAAGAGGCTCTCAACCAATGCTGTTTAAAATACTTTTGGGAATTTGCTTTCTCATAAAATACCCACTTCTAAGGGAGACAAGGAATAAGACCTCCTTTATTCCAGACCCCATGGTCTGGCATTCTCTCCTCAATGAACTTCGTGTGTGTCCACTCCAATTTAGGAAAACTGTCAAAATAATCTCAAACTCTTTTAATGACCTGCACACAGTCCTGTTACTGTGCATATCACTCTTAAGAGGTCAGCAAGGCACTGTGAATCATGGATGTGAATAAAATTTTTCTCCCAGTGGAACAGTGTCTCCCAAAATGGGCTGCATCAGGGATGGGCGTGATATTCAGTGTGAAGGTTGGAGAAAGCCAGCAGCCGGGCCCCTTCAAGACAACCCACAATGAAAAGCAGATTTATTCCATGCCAGCACACTACAAAATGTCAGGTGCAAGAAGGTGGACAGCACTGTGGCCACTTATTCAAGTGTGTCCGCTATAATAGGCACATGATTAAGCACTGAAGAGGCCCAACCCAGAAAACGCTTGAGCACAAACTCCTACACCCATATCCTTAACCTAACCTTCATCTCCCCCCTTCTATATTTGCGCAGCAGTAATAATCCTCAGGATAATCCCTCCTTTGCAGAGATGAACATCACTTACTAAGAGGGCCCTTCCCAGACGCTTTTGCCTTCAGCTCCTCCAGCTTCTTCTGCTCCTCCTTCTGCTTTTGCTTGAAAGCTCTGTCTTCCTGGGAAGACATTTATGAACAAGCCTGGGGTCAGTCCAAAATTACAAATGCACTCTCAACCACTGTGAAAGCCATGCTCTGCTAAAGGCAGCTGTCCCTTTTATATGAAAGAAAATGAGGAGACAGAAGAAGCCCCCCCCCTTCAAAGATCACCTGTTAACACAAGCACATGATATTATCATCAGGGAAATCTGCTGTGACAGGTGACCCCTCACAGAATGCGCATCCCACACAAGCAACGGAAACTGGTTATTCTTGGCTCACAAGGCTAATCCAAACTGCAGTGTCGCTGAGGATTAAAAGCCTTCCCAAATGACACAACTTCCACAGCAGGCCCCCCCTTTAGGCCAGTCCACCTCCTCCCCCATGCCTCCTTGTCCATTCATACCTCATCCATTTCCTTTGATTGCTTTTTTGGTTGCTTCAAAGGCTTTTTCTTGCCACCTGCAGTAACAGCAGAGGAGGTCAGGGAGCACAGATCAGATCATGGGGTAAAACAACTACATAAACCCTCACTTTTATGTACCCATACCAGGATTTAGCACTTTCTCTTTCCTCATCTCAAAAGGATCACCCCCTCATCCCAACAGTTCTTATTTATTTATATTTATTTATTTTATTTCTTAGGCCTGGTGAACTCATGAATGAGCATGAGGTGGCAGAAGGCTGAGATGTAACCACTTCAGACTTGTAGAGGAGAAATTGTACTTTTTGCCATTTTGAATGATTTCCTGTAAGAAGAAAACCAGCACAGCATGCAAGGGGCTAAAAGATAACCTTTCTCCCTAGTACTCAGCCCATTTTCCCACAAACCTCTTCAGCCCCCTAATTTCTCAAGGCAAAGATGTTCTGCCAGGCTTTTGGTTGAGGACAGCGACAGTTAAAACTGGCACCGACCTTTTTACTTTTGGCCCCGCGTCCCCTTCCCTGCCCTGCTGTGCAGAGAGCACGGCAACCGGCAAAAAAATGGGTTGATCGCCATCTGGATTGGTTATTTTATTACTGCACTGTAATAATTTTATCATGTTGATTGTATTCTATCTGTTTTAATGCTGTAAATTGCCCAGAGCCTACTTGCAGGGTCAGGCAAGTCAGAAGTCTAAATAATAATAATTATTATTATTATTCAGAAGTCTAAATAATAATAATTATTATTATTATTATTATTATGCTGCACATACAAACCTTCGACCTGCCACCTTTTAACCCTATCTTTTCTCCAAGGAGCTCGAGGCAGCATACAGGGCTCCTGCCCTACTAATTCATCCTCATAATATTCACCCTCTGAGGTAGGTTTGGCTGAGAGAGGCCTAGCAGAGTGGAGAATTGCACCCTGGACTCCTCAGTCTTTGCCCAGGCCCTTTACTACATTGCCTTTCCCGCGCACAGACGCCAGAGCCTCTCAGAACTTCCAAGCCCACCACCATTATGTCACTAACAACCCCACCCATCCTTACCGTCTCGTCCTGACATGGCAGAGAGTGCTTGCTTGCTTGCACCGGCCCTTCACTGGTTCTGGCACCAACAGCCCCTGGAACCGGGGGAGAAAGGGAGAAGCGAGCACCACAACAGCCAGACGCTGTAACTCGCAGAGAACCACTTCCTCCTACAGCCAAAGCCGCGCTCCCGAGGAGATAGACAAGCAAATGAGACTAGCTTGATTAGGGAGCGAACACAAGCCTAGAGCGACGCACAACTACGCTTCCGGTTAAAAAAAATAGCCATATGCCGTTACTAACGTCAGCGACTGCGTCGCTCTACCCGTTCGCATCTCTATGATAGTCATTCTCTTGAAAAATTTCGCACCGGAAGTTTCAAATGGGGACCGAAGCGACACCTCACACTTCCGGTGTCCGATAGGTCCGTTTTCTCGCTAAAACTTCCGAAAGGGCTCTTACCACAGGGGTCCTAGAGCGACCGGGGTCATAGTCAATGGCACCTTTTCTCGTTTTCCAGAACATTTCTCAAAACCATTAATCAATTCACGGCTGGCTACTTTTACAAATTTTATCTCTTTTATTTTAAAACCGTGTAGCCATCTTGTTCCCGCCTTTCAAATGTTACCGGAAGTTATGTCTCTAGTCCTTCCCCCACCCATGAATGCCGCCGGCAAACTGAGCTATACTTCATTTTCCGCCCAGACCTTGTTACCATTTCCTGTTGGGTTTTGCCAGGTTGTTTCCGCACGTGACCTGGGGAATGCAACTCTGTACGAGCTGGAGGAAGAAGAAGAGTGAGTGATAGGGGACGACATAGCATTTTAAGTCGAAGTAATGTAATGCAGGAGGGTGGGGATGCTGAGGGGAAATGCGGGTTTAATGGGGGACACCGCTGTTAAAGAAGGAGCAGAGCAATGGATGTTACATGGAAGATGCAGCCCGAATTCTACGCATTTTTAGTAGAATTCCGCAGTCACCTTCAAGTTTGTAAGTTGTCAGTAGCGGGAGTTGGGAACAGGATGGCCTCTTTTCCCCTCCCTCTGCTTTAACAGCTGGGTAACAGCGGATAATTAATGGCTGTAGAGTTCTTCCTTTCAAGCCCCACCCCGGCAAATGATTGGTAATGGATGAATGTCTTTCTGTCTGTTGTGCAGCTGATAAAGCTGCAGAGTCTGTGGCAGGGTTTTTTCCAAAAGTCCCACGCCCCTAATGATGGAGAATAATGGTATAGTGAGACAAAGGAGGTTCAACTTCTGGGCCAGGGACTAGATTTAGTAAGGCTCCACATTTAGATAGAGGTATTGTTTAACTCAGTAGAACACCAGATGGACCTCCCCGCAAAGGGAATCCCATTAGATTCAGCCCATTCCAGGATATGTGGTAGAGCTGACCAGGATTCTGTTTCAGCTTCTAATAGGTGATTGTTTGGGCAGGTTTTTGTTTTGCAAATATTTATTTTGCCTGTTTTAAGTGCGCTGTGAGTGGAGATGTAAAAAGCCTGACAAATGTGGAAAAAATGTGCCTCCCACCCAACACTATTGCCTGTCCTATTGTGTGACTGTATAAAACATTTTCTGCCCAAGTAAGACACTCCTGCTTACTACAACACCTGTGTCTTCTATTTTCACTGTGTATTTTTTTCCCTACCTCTTGGATGACAAAAATTAAGGTACGTGTGCTAAAGGAGCATAAGATACAGCAGTTTGCACTTCTCTCTTTAAAACTGCATGTACTTGTAATTTTGCTTGTAGAGAACTATTTCTACTTTTAAATTTCCTAAATATGCCAAACAATACAGTTGTGTATGCCGACTAAGTTATAAAGTAGTAGAATAACTTTAGAGCTGAAGAGAAAATATTATAGTTTCCAAAATTTCTTCCAATCCCCCCCCAAAGAAAACTTTTCAATGGCTTCAAATTTTCTGGAAATTTTATATCTCTGTCTATGACTCCATCCCTCCTACCCATTCCAGTTGCTCTGATCCTGAGAACAAAAATTAAACATTGTAAGGTTGTTTTAGATACTCACCTGAATGTGCAGTCTACGTTCAATAGATGTTGTTCAGGAGATTTATTTATGCCTTTTTAACATGGCAGCTTTATATAATCATAGAGTTAGAAGGGGCCATCTAGTCCAATCTCTTGAACAACATCAATGCAGGATCAGCCTAAAGCATCCCTGACAAGTGTTTGTCCAGCTGCTGCTTGAAGACTGCCAGTGAGGGGGAGCTCACCACCTCCCTAGGCAGCCAATTCTACATGGAGTCATGGCTTTCACAGCTTTGCTTCTTTGTCTTTGTAGACATCATCCACAATGCACCAGGTCTACGTTCAGGTTTGATGAGGTGTCATGGCGCTACTGTTGTCCTTGTGCCACAATATGCATCACCATTGCTTGTTAGCTTTGAGGAGTCCAAGAACACATGTGCACATAGTACGACTGTACTGTTCACCAGCCTCCAAGAGGCCTGAGGCTAACATCCCAATGGAAGTGGCTACAAGTCTTCTCCATCGCTTAACAGAAGCTGGGAAGGTCTTGGGAAGGAACTCCCTTCAGAGAATCTCTGCAGCTACCCGAAACTGGTGGGAGAAATACGAGGAGTTTGTTGGAATCAATGAAGTTCGAGAGGCTCAGGGAAACGTGACAGAGGTAATGACAGGAAACATGAAATAGTCACAGTTTTCAGGCTTCTTGGGCTACTATCAACTTTCAGTGTTTTCTGATGACACCTTTTCTTCCTAAGGGGGATAGGTTCTGTAAGGAAACAGGGAATTTCATTGTGGATTCCTTAGGATCTTAGGAGAGCCATCCGTCTCACAGTGCAATTCCTATTGGCATGTCCATTTTTAAAGGCCTAGGATGAGCTCCCTTGAAAATGACACGTGATCTTCTCTCCGTCGTAGCAGTTTCCCAGGCCATTAAAAAAAATAAGAGCAGCACTACTGGATTAGATCAGTGATTCATCCAGTCCAGCACCCTGCTTAATACAGCCTTCTCCTGGAAGGTGCACAAACAAGGCATGAATGCCCTTTGTTGCTCTCCAGCACCTGAAATCCCAGGGTATTACTACCTCTGAACATGGAGTTTCCCTTTAAGCCGTTATGGCTAATAGTAAATTTGGGGCAATCCCCTTTAAAGCCATGTAAGCTAGTGGTAATCTCTGTCTGCTCCGACAATGACTTCTACAACCAGAAGAGACCGCTGGTCTTGAAATGTTGAGTAATAATCCATAAAGTTTTTGCGGCCCAAACACTGGGGGGTTGTCTACCAGCAGCCCACCAGGAAATTTCAGCCACCAGGAAGTTGAATGGCCCTTCTGTCCTTGACTGGGACAGACCAGGGAAAACTTTTAGGACTTCAATAAGACTTCATATAAGACCCTGAGAGACAGGTCACTGCCAATCTAACAGCTGTCTGGAGAAAATCCAAACCTGTGTTCCCTTGTTAATTTTTATCCTGCACTCCTGAAAAAGAAACGTCAGTGGATTCTGTTGTTGGATGTTTAAATGGGAAAACTGTTCTTCCTCATCCATCCTATTCCAGGCTGAGAAAAAGTTTATGGTAGCTCGAGGGATTGTACGAGAAGCTCGCGAAACCTGGGAGTCCCAGCAGGTCAAACTGAAGGACATTCGGGATCGTTTAGACAGAGTCTCGCGGGATGACAGTCAGTACCTGGAGCTGGCAACCCTGGAGCACAGGCTACTGCAGGTAAGAGCACTTGGCAGGATATGAAGCAACAATATCTTGCATTCGCTTTTGCTTTTAGTTGTTACTTGTGGAGGAAACATCTTGTTTGTTGGGTGTATTGGACCAAATCGCTCTGTGATGGTGCTGTTTCTAAAGGACATGGGAAGGACAGTAGACCATGAACAATTCCTTGCGCAAATAATTTTCTTAATGATTGGATTTGCAGTTTAATTGAGATGCTGCAGCCATGATAGCACTGTAGCTTGCCTTATCATTCTTTGTGACTGGGCATTGTGAAACCCCACAGTACCTGTTGTGGCTGTCCAGATTTATCCCTAACTCCCATGGAGAATTTCTGCAGATGGAAGAGGAGAGGGTTTTTTGCGAATTACCTCCTCCCACAGCCATCATTGGACTCTACCTCATGCTGTTCCTGGGGGGGGGGGGGGGTCCCCCGCCACCCACAAGCAGCTTTAGTGGGGGGGCAGTGAGGAAGCCATGCTCCACTGATGGAATTACTAGTGGATCCAAGTTGTATTGTGCAAGGGCAGAACTTGTTGTTGAGCATAAGAAACAGAATCCGAGAATGACAGATTTAATTTTTAAATAGGTTTCTGGTCGTTAAAGCTGCAAAGGCAGCATGTGGGCAGGGCCTGATGGCACCTCGGAACTGGAGGGGTATACTCTGAATAGGATTTCCACTGGTCACAGAGCCACTGCTGAAGAGCATCTTACCTCTGATGTGCAGAAGCAATATAAATGATGCATATTACATTTGCAGTGATTAGGTTAACATTTTGCCAACTCCAGTTTGGGTTTGTATTTTTATTTAAGCGTGTAACTTGTGCAGTGCTCTACAGGGCAAAGCCTGTGCAGTGCAGGGATCCCATCCAGCCAACAAGCTCTACCATGCACACAGCTTCATTAAACAAAACTGTTATTTAGCGGCCTTCATAGGGCTGGATACTGCACAGCTGTTGTGCTTGTGGATGCACTTTGCCCTGGCAGAAGGAGCGTTCCCTTGACGTAAGATGCTGTTCTGTTGGCAGAAGAACCTCTTCTGTCTGAGGAAGGAAATGTTCCTTGCACCGGGAGAAAGCACAGGAAGGATCTCCCTGTAAGGTTTCAAGGAGGTTTCCCATCCAGGCACCAGCCAGTTTCAGGTCTGCTTAGCTGCAGCAAGGCGACTGCTAACTTTGAGAGAGAATAAGACAATCCCCCCCTTGCTACAAAACCTGATTCTGTGTCTTTAATAGGTAGATATCTGTTATGGAAAATGCACTAAAATCTACAGCGCATTGGAAAACTGAAGTGAAGCAAATGGACTCTTGACCTTATACAGGTTTTGGATGCTTGTTACATGTCGTTACAAGTTTCTGTCTCTTTGGAGGATTTCATTTCCTCCACAGAACTTCAGAAAAGTCTTGAGAGAGACTTTCTGTCTGCCCCTGTGAGCTGAGTCTCCCTGGAACAAGTATTGTGAGCCATGGATGTGTTTAGCATGTCCATGGGCAACCTCAAACAGTGAAGAATCCCTTCAAAATGAAAAGCCTGTGCTGTCCTAGATTTTTTGTGTACAAAGAGTTTTTTACTGTGGGAGAAGCTTTCAGTTCTGCATTCGACCTTGGTCTTTCAGAATGGTACAGTCCAAAAAAGATATGGTTTATCCTGCACTCTTGAGCTGACCTTTAGCCAGAAGGCATCTGCAGGTTTTCCACTGGAGACTCTCTACTGATGGAAAGTTGTACACTGTCCTGCCTTCCCTGCTGGCGTTTGTGTGGTGCACATGTATATATGCTGAATACACATGAACAGTGTCTGAGATGAAAAAGGAGTTCGTTATGGGTCCATGGTTCAGTGGCAGAGCACCTGCCTTGCACATAGCAGGTCCCAGTTTCCACCCCTGGCATATCTCAGTAAAACAAACAGGTAGCAAGTGTTGTGAAAAACCTTTACCTGAGACCCCAGAGAGCCACTGCTAGTCAGAGCAGAAAACACTGATCTTGGTAGACCAAGCGTTTGATTCAGCATAAGGCAACTTCATGTGTGTTGGTGTCTCAGGAGAGAGAAAATGTCCTGTATGTTTCAGAGGAGGCACTCTATTTTTTGGCTCACATTTCTTGTGTTACAGAGGGTCTCGAGCCAAGTTTTGAGCTTGTCCTGCCTCTTGGTGTAGTGGTTAAGAGCAGCGGACTCTAATCTGGAAAACTGGATTTGATTCACCACTCCTCCACACACAGCCAACTGGGTGACCTTGGGCCAGTCACAGTTCTCTAAGAGCTCTCTCAGCTCCGTCTACCTCACAAGGTGCCTGTTGCGGGGAGAGGACAGAAAGGAGATTGTAAGCCGCTCCGAGACTCCTTCAGATATTGAAGAGCAGGGTATAAAACCAACTCTTCTTCTTCCATAGCAGCGTGGCAAGCGGCTGGTAGACCATGTAAGCAACAGCCTCTGATTGACTGCCCTCCACAGGGTCTTGGCCTTTTGCAACCCATGTCCCATCTAGCAGCGTGGGGTAGAACATGTAAGCAACAGCCTCTGATAGACTGCCCGCCGCTGGTTCTTGGCCTTTTGCAACCCATGTCCCATCCTGCAGCACAGTTTGAGAAAAGAAGCTTATGCTGACCTATTTGCCTAGGCCACACCCAGTCTTCCACCCATCCAATGTTCTTCCTGGCCTGCTGTCTGATTCCGCTTGCCTTGGCTTCCGCTAACTTGCCCTCCCTCCTGAGCAGAAATACTCAACTGGCCTCACATTGCTTCTCTTCCCAAAGCGGGCTCATTTTAATTCAGTGGTGGGGAGAGGCTTTGAGCAAAATCTCTTTATCCAATCTTGTTCCACCGCAGGCTGGAAGAATTCAGTACTTTCTTTTTAAATTCTCTTTTTCGTCTGCTCCTTATGTCAGTGGTTAGGTATAACTTGCTATACAGGTTGGATTGCATAATAGTTCTCACTGTAAACACTCAACATACCGTAATAATTGTCAGGAAATTTAATCTGTCTCTCTCTGAAAGAGTCTTAGCTCTGTTGTCTGCCTGAAAAAGCTTTCTTGAGATAACAAGTCAGAACAATGCTATTTCAAGTCCGGCATCATATTTCTAACTGGGCAACCAGAAGCTTCCAAGAAGCCCACAAATGAGGTGTCAAGTCAACAGCCTCCCCCCCCCGTCTTCGCCCCCTCCCCTGCAACTGCAGTTCAGTGGCATTCTGCCTGCGAACATGGTGGTTTCATTTAGTGGTCATGACTAAGAGCCATTGAGTATCTTCTGTATGAATGTCTGCTTTCCCTTTGCAAGGCCTCTAAGCTAAAGGCCATCGCCACATCTTGTGGCAGCAGATTCCGTAAGCTAATATAGCATTCTGCGAAGATGTACTTCAGAGGGTCATGGCTCAGTGGTCGAGCACCTGCTTTGCAACTCAGGCGGTCAGACGGTCAGGTGGTGTGAAAGTCCTCAGCCTGACAGCTTGGAGAGCTGCTGCTGGACCAAGGCCCTTCATAGTTGGATGGTCAGAGTGTAAACGCATTTTTCATGTGAAAGAGAAAATTCTGTTTTAGGAACGACGCCCCATTATTGTTGGTGTTATTCAGCTTTACCACTTCAAAAGTGCGGTGCAATAGGCCCTTGACTCCCATGGAATGATGTGGGCTTATTTTATAGTAAGCATCCACAATCTCAGACTCTACATCAGGGAACTGCATTCCAATCTGCTTTTGCATTAATTTCCCTGTCAAGTTCAGTCACAGACAGTCCCCCATGTCATTGGGCACAAAATCCACGCGCTGATCCTTGGGCTTTCCATAGAAAACCAGAAGCCACTGCTCGAAAATACACTACAGTATGGTACCAAATGGCTTTCATGGCCACCAGCCCATCCAGTCACATTTCAGCTGTCTCTCTAACTGCAGGTCACAGTGTATTTTTGGTTTGTGAGCTGGCAAAACCCTAAGCTGTTTTGCTGTTTTTGTTCTTTGTTTTTTGTTCTTGTTTTTGTTCTTTGTTTTTTTAAAAAAAAAAACCTGTGGGGATTTAATAAACATTTCCCTGTGACCCAGTTAGCATCAGAGAATGCCATGGAGAAGAACCTGCCAGTGTGCATGGATCACATGTGTTGTGTTGGGCCTGGGATCCCGGCTCATGTGTCCTATGAATTCATATTGGAGATATCCATTATTTCCTTTGTTCCACATCTGCTTCATGTTACAAGCGAGCGAAGTATCCTCTATTCCCAAGGGGGGGGGGAGAGAGTGAGAATCCTCATGGCAGAAGAGGGAAGAGCTGTGATCCCATTAGCCTGGCTGACATTACCTTCTAGGTAGGCAGATGGAGTTCCTCCCTAGCAGCCCAGATCTGTTTGCACAGGCATTTATGCATCTGTTCCAAATAGAGACTCTGAAGGCACTGATGCTGCTTTCATACAACTGAGTTCGACAAAACTGGCTACTGACGCAGGCTTTTACCAGCTGCAAAGATGGAGCCGCACAGCATTAAAAACAGTGTGAAATGTTAATGAATGGCTAACTATTTGTGAATACCAATTCCAAGTATCTCTCTCTTTGTCGTAATGGTGTAAATGAGAAACGGGGCTTAGGAGTGGGGACACACAGGGAGACAGACAGGCCCTGTTCTCAGGGATTCTCAGCCAACTTCTACCTATCTGTCAGATTTTATCTAGGATTGCTAAAACCTCAGAGAAAGAATGTCCTGTCCCTTTAATAGAGGCTTAATGAGTAGAAATGGGAAGATAAAGCATTTCATGCCATGCAGGTAAATAACATCACCTGGGACGTATCATCCTATTATGCCTCTATTAAGGGGGCAGGACATTTCTCCCCCCAGGTTGTTGGCCACCCTAACCAGTGTTCCCTCTAAGCTGAGTTAGTGTGAGCTAGCTCACCGTTTTTTAGCCTCTGGCTGACACATTTTTGTCTTAGCTCAGGAAGGTTTTTTAGCCTCCAGAGCAAACTAATTTCTGCAGCAGCCAAATCGCTCACTCGCAACTTTAATGCCAGTAGCTCACGAGGTAGAATTTTTGCTCACAGGACTCCACAGCTTAGAAGGAGCATTGCCCCTAACACCCCCACCCTGTCTCCCAGGAATGCAGGGCACCTTTTAGTCTCACCTGTTTCATTTTATCCTTACAAACCATACTGTGAGACAAGTTACACTGAGAGCATGTGGCCCAAAGCAACCCCAAGAGCTTCAGAACAGGGCAGGGATTCAAACCCCAGTCTCCCAGATACTAGTAAAAACTTCTAACCACTATACCAAACAGGATCTCTGAATTGTGACATGGAGTTCTAGAGAAGACCTTCCTTGGAAGCTCAGCACATGCACAGCGTGGAAGGTTTTGAACTTAGCTTTATTCTTTTCCCTCTAGGGACAAGAAGAATATGTTTTAAATGAGGGTGTGGGTTTGCCATACACCAACCCAGTCTCCAGACCCAAAATTCTGTGCCAGGCTAAGCTTCGTTTGGGTGGTTAATATATCTGACAAGGGGCGGACCCGCGATACTCGCCGTCACCTAAGTGAGGGCCGCTTGGCCCTCGCTGCTCTCTCCCCCACCCCCATCCTGGCACCGAAGCGAGGGCCGAGCAGCTTGCCACTCGCCCCTCGCTGCTCTCTTTCCCCTCCCCCTCCGTGGCGGCAGCGGGAGGCCGGCTGCAGAGCGTTCCCTGCGCATGCGCAGGGGACGCTCTGTCAGTTTCGGGGGGATTTAAACATCCCCCCGATATTTTTTATAGGGTTTCTGATTTTTGTGCACACCTGGGGACCACCCCACGTGTGCACAAAACTCTCCCTCCCCTCCAGGTCCCCCCGATGTGCGGAAATAAGTATCCGCACGCCAGGGGGCGACTTCGTAATTAGATATATAGATTGTGACTTCGCTAGCATCATCGAGAGGCAACAGTCTATAATGGGCACTGAAGCTTCTGGTCCTGATCACCAGAGATTTTTGCTCAGTCTCCAGCTCCAGACCCAAGACCCACCTTTAAAAATGGGGGAGTAGCAGGAATATTCTGAGCTGCAAGCATGTAATATTTTGTGTGTGTGTCTGTCCTCTTTAATGCTCTTTTTAAAAATGATGAAAATGTCCTCTTTTAGGGTTGGAAGGTTAAGAATATTCCTAGTTAGTAGCGATTATCTTAAATAGTTAAGGGTATTTAAAATGAGATTTGTCAGAATGATCACTTGTTTGAAGTAGTCAGTTGGGAAATATGCCCTCTTTTCTGCTTTTCAAAATATTGTAACCCTATTTACTTCAGCTTACATAGTTCTCCTCTGTGTTGTCCTCACAACGACCCTGTAAGGTAGGTTAGGCTGAGAGTGTGTGACTGGCCCGAGGTCACCCAACAGGCTTCCATGGCAGAGCTGGGATTCAAACCTGGAATCTTTCAGACTGTAGTCCAGCATTCTAACCACCACACCACACTGGTTCTTTGATATCAGAGTCATGGGATAGGAAGAGGAGGAGCCAACGTCTCTTAACATGCCTGTGCTAAAAAGGAATCTTCTGCACTACTGAGTGATCTCACCCGGATGCTCCTCTCAGTGTGTCTGTCGGTGGGGGGGTATGTGCACATGCAACAGTATCAGGTCCTTCCAAAAAGCAATAAAAAATGAGGCTTTATAGGGGCTTATAGATGGGACCGCTGCATTACTTATGAAATTCATTATGTGGGGTAGGGGCATAATCCTAAGACTCTCCGTATTCCTCCATGTACAGAGCTCACGTTCTGTGACCCAGATAAAACCAGCCCCATCGATCACTCTCCCTGAATAACAAATAACATTCCATGAATTTTCCATTGTTTGCCCTGATGAGAAAATTTGAGTCCCCTCCTTGTAACGAGATATGCATGAACTTCCTTAGAAGAAAAGCTGGATAAAAATCTATTAGAAAGAAATCTTGTCTTCATGTGGAGCCAAGGGAGCAAGTCCTAACGGTGCGCCCTGACTGCAAAGCTTTCTTCAGAGCGTGGGCACCTGGGTTTTTCTGTCACGTAGGCGAGGCAAATCCCCATACCAAGAAGCTTAAAAATGTAAATTTTTAGGAGGATTTGCAGGCTTTCAGCCGGAAAGGAAACGAGATCTCATACTGTGTCACAGGAATGAGCCAAAGGTATTTGCAACAAAAGCCTACAGGAGACAGAAGTGATAGATACATATTTTCGCATAGTTGTGGGCCTTCTGCTGCCCAGTGCCGCAGTTGAAAAGGAATCCGTACCTCCTGGCATCTTCTCAAAATAAGGCCATCATCCTAAGCGTAACAACTGTGCGGTAAAGCCCACTGAAATTTACTCATGAGTAAAAATGCTTAGGAGCAGCCTATCTGTTGCTTTTCCTGTTTATTGGTGTAGCTCCCTCCATGATGGGGCTACGGGGAGCTGGCCTCAGACCAAATGACTCAGTCTGGTTTACTGGGAGGGACGATTGTGAGAAAAACACACATTGAAAAAGAAGAGAGAAAATGCTCTTTTAGCCACGGTTCAATGAAAGGTGGTGTCGGAAGCCTGTGAACTGTGTTTAGTCATGCCGGCCACATGACCACGGAAACGTCTTCGGACAGCGCTGGCTCTTCGGCTTTGAAACAGAGATGAACACTGCAACCCTAGAGTCGGATTTGACTGGCTTTCGAGCAAGGGAACCTTTACCTAAAAATGCTTAGGAGCAGCCTATCTGCGCTTTTCCTTTTTATTGGTGTAGCCCCCTCCATGATGGGGCTACGGGGAGCTGGCCTCAGACCAAATGACTCAGTATGGTTTACTGAGAGGGATGATTGTGAGAAAAACACACATTGCAAAAAGAATAGAGAAAATGCTCTTTTAGCCACGGTTCAGTGAAAGGTGGTGTCGGAAGCCTGTGAACTCCATGAAGGTTAGCCAAGCCTTATATCTGGAGAGCATGCTCTTTCAGTGTAGGATGGCGGGGTGTGTGTGTTAATCCATGTTAAGGCTTGTGCAAACAAAGATCAGGCCTGGGGAATAAGAGGCAGAGGGCAAAACCAGTATTTCTTAGATGGTTACTCCCTAGGATAGACAGGATTTCAAATTCCCAGAAAGCACCAACACTTCTTTGTTGCAAGAGGTGAAATGGCTCAGCCCGTCAGCCAGCCACTTCCTTCATGTGCCCACATAATCAGCTTCCAGCAACTTTGTATTTGTTTATTTACTTCATTTATATCCCATCTTTCTCCCCAGTGGAGTCTCAAAGTGGCTTACGTCATTCTCCTCTCCTCCAGTTTTATCCTCAGAACACCCCTGTAAGGTAGAGTCCAATAGCACCTTAAAGACTAAAGAAATTTGTGGTAGGGTATTAGCTTTCATGAGTCACTGCTCACTTCTTCAAATACCTGGACCTCCTGATGGCCCCTGGTATTTTTTGGCCACTGTGTGACAGACTGTTGGACTGGATGGGCCATTGGCCTGATCCAACATTGGCTTCTCTTATGTTCTTACGTTCTTATCTCCTGTGAGGTAGGTTGAGCTGAGTGTGTGACCAGCCCAAAGTCACTCAGCAAACATCAACTCTCCATTTTGTCATGGAACTAGGATCTCCCGGTTCTTAGTCTGGCACTCTAATCATTTATGCAACAGTGGAAGACCCTATCATGTGGGCTTCAGCTAGATGCATTGTACACAGGCTTCTGAGGGCGGCTAATCTAGAATGGTGCTGTGTTACCACCGTCTTTACAAAATGTAACGCGCCTCATACCCCTCGGGGAAGTCCTAAGATGTGTTGCTTCTGACATATGAACGCACAGAGCTGCCTTATATCGAGGCAGGCCATTAGCACATCTAGCCCAAGGGTCTCGGCCAGACTCCTTTCCCAGACCTGCCACAGGTGTGAAAGATCTGTACCTTAGACCCTGAAGAGCTTCCACCAATCACAATAGACTGACCTTGATAGACTGAGGGCCTGTCTCAATAGAAGGCAGCTGCCTGTAAGTCCTTTCAAGCAGTGCTGCTAGGGACTGAACCTGCACGTGTCCCAGATTTTCTTCCCTTTCAGACTTCTTCATCCTCAGTCCAACGTTTTGGGCCGGACATCCCCAGCAGAGTTCCTGTATCTGGTTCCTGTTCATTCATCTGTTACTTTGCTGGACTTCTGCTGTATCCTGATGACTTGTGGCAGAACTTTTAAAATTTCTGAGTCTTAAAAAAATATTGTCAGACAAATGTCCTGCCTTTTTTTGTCCATCAAAGCCGCCTAATTGTGTAGGCATATTTCTTTTTGGGTTCCAGATCCCACAGCATTGGCATAGATTTGATACCTTGCGTTTTATTTTGAAGCAGCAAGAGTCCCATGCTGAGCACGTTCCAGATTTTTAGCTATAACACCTAGTGTTGCCAGATGACGAGAAAAGCAAGAAACCGCCCTGCTCCTGTGCCTTGTAATAGCAGCTTGATCTTTAGAAATCAGCAGATGAAACCTTTCGTGTTGCAGAAATAAACATTAGCTCATCAGGCTGCTGTTAAAGGCGCAGGAGCAGGGCTTGTTGAAAAGGTGGCAGCCCTAAACATCGGCCTATCCTGATGAGCTTTATAAACTTTTAGGGAACTTCTCAGTTTCTCCAAGCTTTTAATGTACTGTTCTTTGACAATACAGGAAGAGAAGAGGTACCGAGCCACCTACCTAACCGCTGAGGAATCTGAGCGAGAAACGTTTTCTCTCTTCTCTGCTGCCGTGAGGGAAAGCCATGAGAAAGAGCGAACGAGAGCTGAGAAAACAAAGAACTGGTCCATTATCGGCTCCGTGCTGGGGGCCATTATTGGCGTCCTTGGCTCCACCTACGTCAACCGCGTTAGGCTGCAGGAGTTGAAAGCCTTGGTTCTCGAAGCGCAGAAGGGACCGATAAGCCTCCAGGAAGCCATCCGAGAACAGGCCTCGAGCCACGACTCCCAACAGAGGGATCTAAGCGATCTTATTGGCAGCCTGAAGAGCATCCTGGATGTTGCGACTGTGATGTCGCAGGAAGCGAAGGAGGGGGCCGCCTCATCCAAAGGCAGCCCGAGCTCCTCTCTAAAAACGGACCCTCTCTTAGTTTCCCTTAAAGAACAGCTGAGCCACTCCAAACAAATGAGTTCGTTGCTCGGAAGTGTGCAACAGCAGCTTAGTAACCTGGAAAAAAGTTTCGGGGAAATGGCTTCCGAGGTACAGAACATAAAGAGTGCAGCCCCTCCCACTCCCGGGGAAAGGGTATTACTTGCCCCTTCTGTGGAAGGGAACAGTCAGTCCTGGGAGGTTCAGGATGTGGTTCTAGAGCTGTGCAACACAGAGAGGAGACTGGAAGCCCAAATGAAGAGGAACTCGATCTACAGCACAGCCTTCACATGCACTGTCTTTGCTGTTGCACTTCCTGCCCTGTACATACTCCTCAAGGGTAATTGAGCCTAAAAAACCCCCCATGTGTTGGAGTAATAAAATGACATTCCCTGAGCTCCAATGGGTCCGTCTTGTATCCCTTTTTAAAGATTCTCTTGTGAAATCCTCCCAGCATCTGGAGAGGCGTGCCTGTGCGATTCAGTAAAAAGACAACATGCGAGCCCTCAAAGGGAAAAGTGTCATGTGCTCCAAACCCGCTTAGGGGATTTGACCATTCACCAGGTCCACTTCTTGGTAACGGTGCCGTGTTTTGGCACTTCACGTCTTCCGTGTAATCAGCGAAAGACGCAGCCTGGGCCGGGAAATAGCGCCTGCAAAATCTTCCGTTCTGTATTTCTGAAGAGCTCACAAATGAATGGGACTTGAAAGTTTTCTGTGCGCTGGAAAGCTCCATTCTGCAGTCTCATTATCTACTGTCGACTGTTTTCTAAATTTAAAGGAACCAAGTAGCCAGTTGGATCGTAGCAATTATGCTCTCTGTGTGACTTTTTAAAAAGACTTTCCTTGCTGTATCCTCTGTTCCCACTGGTAATGCCCCAGGTTCTTCCTGCTTCCTGCTTTAACATGCCTTTTAACTTTGCCAGAAGTTACCCCCTTAGGGATTTTTAATATCTTTTGTCATGAAGTCACCTAGGAAACATTTTGAGGGCGTGTAGCACTTGTCTTCACTCCAGGCCTTACTCAAGGAATTGGCAGGGGCAGCCTTGGAGCTTAATCAGGCCCCAGCAGGCCGTACATCTGTCCCAAAGGACCCCCATTTGGCCTAGTTTGAGCCTGTTTCTCCTTCATGAGAGAAGTCCATTTCTTTTTTCCGTCTTGACAGACGATGGCCAAGGTGTGCCAGGGGAGAATTCCCTCAAGCTACATAAGGAGTCTTAAAGAGATTTGATTATTTTTTTGGCCTTTTTCTCAGGCAAGCAGTAAAGGCAGAGTTTTAGCAATGCTTACGAAGTTTACAGTGGGACAGCGAAGCATCCTTTGCCCACTTTCTGAGTTGTACAGGACTTGGCAGGTGGAGCTGATTTGCTGGCCACTTCATCTTTCTTCCATTCAAAAGATATGGCCCTGTTAAAAAATTAATTAGTAGCCGGCATTTCACTTCCTTGTTATTGCCAGTCTTGGCCTGCTTCCACCTGATGGTAATTCTCTGGGTACCTTTTATAGGCACAACATTTGCAATGGCAATCGAGCATCCACGAAGCAGTTTCCCCCACCTTCCCCTTGCTGCCATTCCCCCTGCCAACACTGGAGGGCTTTGGGGGCCTTTGAAAGCAAAACCAGCATTTGCTAGATCTCTCTAGCATTATAATCTATTGCCACGATCTACACGCTCCTCAAAATTCCCAGCTTTTAAGAAGTACGTCTCAAGCCCTTTTTATTGTGGAGATATATCAAACCGGGTCTAGGAAAGATCGCATCAAAGCAGGGGATAACACAGAAAGTGGACAATTAGAGGGCAGGTCGTGTGGATGCCCTGAAAACCTCACTCCAGTGTAAAACAAGGCAACACTTCTGTGTCAAAGCCAAGTGACCAGTTGACATGAAAAGTGAGCAGTTTTGCATTTTCTTGGCTCGTGTTGTCTGTATTAGAACCTCCCTTCCCTCCCAATAGATTTCAGTTCACTTTCTCTTAAGAGCTGTCCACTGTCAGTGCTTTCAATACAGTTCAAAAAGTGACGTGTGTGATCATCTATTGCATTTATTTCAGATAGTTACGCCCTGCTTTTCTCCCTAATGGAGACCCAAAGTGGTTCTCCTCCATTTTATCCTCACAGCAACTGTGTGAGGTAGGCTAGGCTCAAAGAAGAAGATACCCCACCCTTCACTCCCCAGAGGAGTCTCAGAGCGGCTTACAAACTCCTTTCCCTTCCCCTCCCCACAACAGACACCCTGTGAGGTAAGCGTGGCTGAGAGAGCTTTGACAGAAACTGCTATTTTTCAAGGACAGCTCTTGTCAGAACTACCGCTTGCCCAAGGTCATCCAGCCAGGTGCAAGTGGAGGAGTGGGGAATCAAACCCAGTTCTCCCAGATTAGAGTCCGCACATTTAACCACTACACCAAACTGGCTCTACACCAAAGAGGATGACTGGCCCAAGGACACCAAACAAGCTAACATGGCAGTGTGGGGATTTCTGCCTGGAGCCTCCCAGAGCCTAGTCCAGTGCTCTAACCACCACGCCACGTGGAGAGTCCTCCCTATTGCTGTCCTTGAATGGATGGAATGTGTTGGGAGTATAATTTCTTGAAGACAAGATGAAGAAAAGGTATGCAATCTCTACTTCAAATGGTACAGTAAGTTAAGTGTTGGAAAACCAGGTTCCAAATCTAACTCCCAGTCAGTTAGGCTGAGTGCGCTGCTGTCATATTTTAAATGGCAAAATGTGCTGGCTGCAGTTTTTCATTTGGGACAATGGACCCTGTCCACTTGAACAGTCAATTTGCACGTTTTCTTGTTTTTGTCTCAATTCTGCAAATTGTACACGGTTGTGCTTTTGGTACTAACTAGAAGGGGGAAGGAGATATGCCAAACACTGTGGTCTTGACTCCAATCATTGGACACCTTTTGTATTTTTGGAGGTGTCGCCCACATACTTCCAAGCATCATTTTGTACCCTCCACAACTAGAAACTTATTATTGTTTTAATGAAAGCTGAAATTGGCAGGATTGGCCTTGCCAATAGGTGGAACGCTTGGTGCCCTGCCCTGTTCCACTCTATGTTCCTAATTTCTTTCCATTGCACAAAGCGGGAGCTGTCCTGGGGTTTGTGTTTGCTCCTTTGGGATTCTGGCACACGGCGGTGGGCACAATCACAAAAAGTCTGCCGCAGGAGATGGAGACAACCACAAAATATCATGGAGCGAGGTTATATATAACTCTAATAGTAATGCTTGGACATCTCAAGCAGGAGCCTTTTAATCTCCACCTCCTACCTAGACCCTCCCACTTGGGGTACTTGGTGGGCACCAGGAAATATGTCAGTGGGGATCCCTGCCGTAGAGCTCTGTCTGTCTGAGTCAGATGTTTTATGTTACCATGTTAATTTGTCAAAAACCAAAAGCAATGTAATCCCTTTTTATTAAGACCAACCCAAATAACACAGAATAGCGTGCAAGTGCTCGGTCTTCATAAGAAGTCTTACAAGGCTTTTGTCTGTGAGGTATGCTATGGCCCAGCATGGCTGCCCCCATCCTTCATGTTCATATATGCAATTCTATGAAGTGGGTGATTCGATCGTGTCCATTTTACAGATGGAACTAACAGAGAGCCTCTGACTTCCATAACAGCTGTATTGCCCAGTAAGGGATGGTGGTTATTATTTTGGCTGAACTAGGCTTCCCAAGTCCCCGCCCCAGAGGCCCGTTCCCCGCCGCCACCGCCGGATCAGGCCCCGGGGGGAACTCCTCCCCGACGTGCGCGTCACCTGGAAGTGACATGACCACGCCGGGCACACTGGGGGCGGGGCCACGGCCATCCGAGGGAAGACTCTATGGTTTTCCCGCGTATGGCTGTGGCCCCGCCCCCAGCGTGCCTGGCGTCGTCACGTCACTTCCGGGTGATGTGCATGCGGTGCGCGCGCACAACAGACGCCAGCCGGGAGCCCCCCCTCCCGGCAAAAATCCACTTGGCAATCCTAGGCTGAACAGATATGGATCTGCGCACAATATTCTTCTCATGAACCGACACTAGTTCTCATACGAAGAGTGAAAAACACTCAGCAATAGAGCAGCTCTGAAATCAGCACTGTTAACAACTGTGCCACACCTGAACAAGTACAGTTAGGGTTGTCTGGCTGGAGATGGTTTTAGACTGGAGCCTGAAGTGGGAAACAAAGCGATCATCCTTCCTCGCTGCTAATAGATATTATACAGTAGCCTCACTGAAATAAAATTACTGTGCTTTTAGTGCTGCGTCTGTTCCTTTCAGCGGTCCTTCCTGAGGAGAAATTTCTTACAGAATTGTGCCCCGTGAGTCACAGTACAGTTGCTGCTTTGTTTGCCTCATGGGAGAGCTGGTCCTGCAGTTTCTCTAACAGCTTCATTACAGTGATAAGAACCCAACCATACCTTCCCTCAGTGCCCCTTAGCATATTCCCTGGCTTGCTTCTTCCACCCACTGGAGTCAGGGAAAATTCTAATTGTTCTACCCAACTGGCAGGAGGGAAGGGTAGGGAGAAATGAGATAACAAGCAGCAGCAAATATACGGCTCTGTGGTATATATACAGTTACTTCTGAGCCATTTGTTAGAGAACGGACTTGATATTTGCTTTATATTTATTGCTACACACAATGGACTGTGCACACACACACACAGTATCAAAGAACTGTACATTTTAAGTCACCTGTTGTGATGCAACACATAGAAGGTGCCTGCATAAGCCTTACACATGAATAAGGTTTCAGTTACACAGTTGCCAGCCTGGTGGAAGAGCACACACACCTCCATCATTGTGAGCAGTAAGAAAACAACAACTTGAGAAGAAACAGCCCCCATTGCAGTTCTTGTAGTGATCACAGTAAGACACATCTCTGCTTTGTTCTACATTGGCATTTCCTGTCAAATGGGCATTTGTTTCACAAAGGGAATGGCCAAGCTTCATCTACACTTCAATGAAGCATCGTGAGGTCAAGGTTTCACACCTGACCAGATGGCCCTCTTTGAGTAAGGGTTAGATTTCAATATTGACCACTCCTTTAGGTAACCTCCCACTCCTATAGGCAACCAATAGGATTGTTTTTGGGACGGACTAACAGGAAGGTGGGCCAGGAGGTTGGCACCGTCAACACCCATCTCCTGGAGCTCCAATAAAAGAAGAGAACCAGTCACATGGTCTCTCTCTCTCTCTCTCTCTCTCTCCCCCTCCCTCCCTCCCTCTCCTTGATCAACTAACATCTCCCCTGCAGCAACCCCTGTCTGCTTTTTACTCCTCTTAAGTCCAGCTTGCTATACCCAAACCCTTGCATCTACTGCCCACACGTGCTGGCTGGTTCTAGTCGTGTGTTAAATTCCCTTAAATTTCTATTGCTCCCCATCCATTCTTCATTGGAACAACCAAGCTGTGAAGACAGATAAGTATCACTCATCA